CGCACGGTCACTGTTCATATCTCCGCCTTTCCCTCTGTGCATTCTCTTTGAATTTCATCCTGCTTCATTCCTCCACTGACCAGCTCTCGTTCGTTCACCGAGTTGATGGATCTGTTAAATTCGAAGCGCTGAGCGAACCAATGACAAGCAGCTCCACGAGGTCTGTGGCTGGAGCTGACCTGAGCCCGCTGACCAGCTCTCGTTCGGTGACGCAGACGGTGAACGGGTCGCACAAGTTCGTGATCCAGGGTTACAGCTTGGCCAAAGGGATGGGGGTGGGAAAGCACATTGCCAGCGACAATTTCACCGTGGGCGGGTACCAGTGGGCCGTTTACTTTTACCCCGACGGCAAAAACCCCGAGGATAATTCCGCCTACGTTTCGGTTTTTATAGCTTTGGCCAGCGAAGGAACTGATGTGAGGGCTCTGTTCGAGCTGACGCTGGTGGATCAGAGCGGGAAGGGGAAGCACAAGGTTCACAGCCATTTCGATCGTTCCCTTGAGGGCGGGCCCTATACTCTCAAGTATCGCGGTAGTATGTGGTGAGTTTTGCTTTGTTTGAATCTTGAATTTTTTATGTGAAAGCGTTCAATTTTACATAAAACGTATGTAAAGGAAAAAGCTTGTTGGGTTCAATTTCTTTGATTCCTCGTTACCGCATAAATTGATTTTTCTTTCTCATTTGAATGGATTATAATTACCAGATGTTGATATTATCTGTTAATTTTTCCCAATTTTTCATTACTCTAGGGGATACAAGCGATTTTTCAGACGAAATCTGCTTGAATTGTCTGATTACTTCAAGGATGATTGCTTGCAAATCAATTGTGCCGTTGGAGTTGTGGTCTCAGCGATAGATAGTTCAAGATTGCACACAATTCATGTGCCCCAGTCAGATATAGGAGTACATTTTGGCATGCTGCTAGAAAATATGGAAGGTTCAGATATTACTTTCAATGTTGCTGGGGAGAAATTCCATGCTCATAAGGTGGTTTTGGCTGCTCGATCACCTGTATTTAGGTCCAAATTTTTTGATGGGGCAGAGGAAAATGAACAAGAGGTTGTCATCACTGATTTAGAGCCTAAGGTCTTTAAGGTGAAAACAGTAAATACCTTTGGTTTTCCCTTACCATTCTTATGATTGTGGATCTTTGATCATGTCATACTCATCATTACTTATTTTATTTTCTTGTTTCTCAAACAGGCATTGTTGCATTTTATATATAGAGATACATTGTCAGAAGATGTCGAGGGTGTGGGTTCTAGCTTCTCTTCAGTACCCTCAACCTCTGAAACACTAACGGCACAGCTGTTGGCTGTGGCTGACAGGTATGGTTTGGAGAGACTCAAGTTGATGTGTGAATCTCACCTTTGCAAGGATATATCCGTGAATTCTGTCTCCAAAATGTTAGCTTTAGCTGATCAGTATCATGCTATGGAGTTAAGAGCTGTGTGTCTCAAGTTTGCTGCTCAAAACCTTGCAGGTGAGTCCTCTGCCCTCCATCTCCCACTGCCTGACAATTGTTAATCTGCTCTGAATGATAGTCATCACTTGTTTAAGCATGACATTGTTAAGAAATCCTATTTAATTATCTAAACCAAGTACTACTTCAAGTCCAATTTACTTGTCACATTTTCTAAAAAGAGGTGGTCCAATTTACTTGTCAATTTACCTTTTAAACAGTCTTCTTTTCCAATTTTGCCCCTGTTAATAATTGCTCCATTCTTAAAAAGAACTCATCTCCAACTTCTTTAACTTCCCTTATTTAATAAGGGTAAATATGGAATTTCAATGAGTAATAATTGTGTTTTTATGAATTTTGGTAATTTTCTCTTTAACCGTTCCATGCAAAAGTGTTGCAAGAAAAATGGACCCGAAGTAGTATCTACTTTTAAGTTAAAATATGGATAATCCTTTTGCTACATAATGAAGGTAGTAGGTTATGAGTGATGGCTTCGTCATCCAACTTCTTCTAATGTTTAGTAACTTTTGGTATTATGTATAACTTAAAGGTATTTAATGTTGGATTCTTTATTGTATAATGTAATCATGTATGTTGATGTGTATTTCTGGTAGTTTGTTCGTACTTTTGTGTCTGCTGAGTATTTTTTCAGATGTCATGGTTCAATATTTTTGCTATGAAGGGTAGGGTAAAAAAACTGTAAAACTTTTGATATTTTTTTTCCCTAAATGGGGAGTCCAAGTTACATTTCATCAGAAAAAAACTTTTGATACAAATACATTATAAGAAACCAATGTTAAGCAAAACTTGTACCTAAAACTCCAAGGTTTCAGGGTCTCTACCTTTGCCAGTAAGCTAAGGCTTTATTGGCCCCTTTGCACATACTATGCAGCAGGGTAAAGAATACTGAGTTTAGTATATTTTTCCATGCGTGTTAAGGCAATAGTTTCCTTGCACTATCTGACATGAGTATCTTTTCCATGCAAGATAAGGTGATAGCTTCCTTGCACACTTAGTGTAATTGTATAATCCATAGTGTAATTTGTGAGAGTTAGATTATAGATCTGTGTAATTGCAGGTCTTGAGGAACAATGATCAGAAACCAACTTTGACACTAGTGCTTATTCACTTTTCTTTTTGGGTAAAACATTGTTCTTGTAAGACTTGGTTAAGGGTGATGGGAACATGCTCATGTTTTTGGAGGCTTGTATCTCATTCTCAAATATTTGTTCTCATTGCAGCTGTCATGCGATCAGATGGCTTTGAGTACTTAAGAGAAAACTGCCCAGCACTACAGTCAGATATTCTTAAAACAGTTGCGGGATGTGAGGAGGATTGGAGCAGCGGAGGTGCAAAATCTCCTAGTGTTTGGGCACAACTTTCAGATGGTGGTGATAGCAGTGGCAGGAGGGTTAGGCAAAGAACTTGATCCAATCACTACTTTCTTTGTTACATTCATGTTCCTCACCCTTCCCCCAACTCCAAGTGAAAAAAGATAAAAGAAGAATGAAAATGAAAAGAGAAGTTGATGATGGGGAAAAAATTGGAATACAAATTAACAAAACCATTGTCAACCATGGCCCCAAGGCAAGTAAACTTACGTCTTGTAGATAGTGAGGTATTACTAGTTCTTACTGTAAGTTGATACTAGGCTGTGTTTGCTGCATTGTTTCCTAAGAGTTCAAAGTAGGTAAAGAACATCGCACTGTTGTCCTCTGCAGTATTGCTAACAAAATTTTTCTCATAACATTCAACTGTTTTATATGTTGTATTCTGGTTCTTCTTTTCTTGGGCACATGATACTTCGTTTGCTACTATTTTGATTTCTTATGTGTGTTTTTTTCCTGCCCTTTTAAAATCTGAGATTAGCTGGTTTGCTGACAGGACGTTATCTCTGAAAATTGTTTTTTTGTTTTCAGTTATATTAAAAGTGCTGTTTTAATATTAAAATTATTAAAATATTTTTATTAAATTTATTTTTATATTTATTTATTAATAAAAATTTAATAATTTTAATTTTTATACCATATTTTCAATATATAATTTTGTCTGAAATACACGAAACTCATTTATATTTTATGGTCCCCTTCGAGACAATATAACCTTTGTTGAGACTTTCATTTTTTCCTCCTCCTTTCACGTAAATTCAGTGTGGTGTCTTCCGATATGACTTGCAGTTGTCATTTAAAAACATCTTTTTAGAGATAAAGAAGTGATGATATATTTTTAATTGATTATCAAAGAAATATAATAATGGTTTAATTTTTTTTATAAAATTAATACTTGAATTTTTTTACTTTTTGTGTTTGTACTTTGTAGAGACGTGACCTTAGGGGTGGATTAAAAAATTTACAATTGAAAAAAATTTAAAATTTGATAAAATTATAATGAGTGGGTAAAGTTTGACTGAGTTTTAAGTTTGATTAAAAATTAAATTAAATCAGTTTAAAATGGATTGAGTTATAATTATTAACTCTAAAAGTTGAAAAATTAATGATTAGAGTGAATATGATCGAAAAAATTCGATCTAAAAATCTTCGTTATAAATTTTTTAATGATTTCTAAACTTGTTTAAAGGTTTTTTTTTTTTTTTTTTGAAAATAGGTAATGGAACTTGTTTAAAGTTTTTTAACTACTTTTTATTAAATTATTTACTTATTTAAGTAATTTTTAATTCTTAATAATAAATAATAATTAAAAATTCAAAAAATAATTATTATTATAAAAATAATTTTTTAATTAAAATCAAAATCAATTTAAATAATTATTCTTAAAAATACAACTATAATTTAATTAATGATAAACTTATTTTTTATTTAATTAATGATTATTAGACTTTAAAATCTAAAATTTTAGTTAATTATAATTTAATTTCAATTATAACCAAAATCAAATCGTGTCCCCTCTACAGTGACACTAGGCCTTTTACTCACCATCTGATACCCAACGTAATGGCGTAAGTCGTTCGGTTTTTTTTGCTAGGATTCTTCCTGTCCAAGAAAATCAAGCATATAAAAAAAGTTAGAATCCTTCTTTGTTGAAAACAAAGTAGAGATTATTTTTTTCCCTCACGGTGGCCGAGTAGCCGTAGCAGGGATGGTCTGCCGGTGGTGCTCTCACTGTCTCCAGTTTTGCAGGGCAGCAGCAAGCAACTCTGGCTTCACGTACGTCCCTTAATTGCCGCTTACCATTCCATTCCGTTTTCTTATGTTCTTTGATTCTTTAGAGTTCGTTTCCTATACAGATTTCTCCTTTACTCCACTCCCTTCAAGAGAAAAGTAATGACTTTTGATTCATGATTTAATTATTTGCAGATCTTGTTCGACCTGTGGAAAGGTATTAGGCCAGACCCTGGTGCAGAATGTAGTAAGGTTTAAGAGAAAGAGAAAAAGCAAGAAAATCAGATATGTTCACGTTATTACTGCTCCTGGAGTTGATTCTGCGGGCAGAGTTTCCAATTTTTAATCAAGATATAGGTTTTGTTTGCCAACACTGTCGTGCTTTAGCCTTTTTTTTTTCTTTTTTTTTTAACTACTATCCTAAAGGAATGTATAAAATATTAATTAAAATAAATATTAAATATATTTTATATATTTTTGAAGCAGTGTTTTAATTAGTACCTTTAGATCTTTCTTTCTGCACTAGTATCCTAGAGCTCCAAGTTAAACTGCCTTTTTGCACTCTTTTTCCTGAAACAAGTAGAAAAGGAGAGTGCTAATTGATGTATAGAATCTCTAGATGATGATGAAGAAGAAGAAGTCTAACACGAAAGAAAAGAGGCTGTCAGATTAGCCGAGGTGACTGCCTGGACACAAAAATAAAAAGAGTTCCAATCATATGCTTTGGAACCTCTTTTAGTATAGAGATGCGGGCAAGTCATCCTTGGCTACCATACAGACTCTTGTCTTCATGCAAGGCCTCTCTGCTCTAGTTGAGACAATTTTCTGTATTTGTAGACATTGATTGCATCGTTGATTTAGAAGAGAAAGTCTAACATGAGAGAAAAGATGCTGTTCGATTAGCCAAGATGACTGCCTGGACACCAAATAGCTGGTTCCATACTCATGGCAATGATTCATGAACTAATGTGTTGTGGAACCTCTTTCAGAGGTGCAGGCAAGTCATCCTTGGCTATCGTACAGACTCTTACCTTCATGAAAGGCGTCTCTTCTTCTATGTTTTTCCACTTTGATTTAGGAGAGGAAGTCTAACATGAGAGAAAAGATACTATTAGATTAGCCAAGGTGACTGCCTGGACACACCAAATAGAGAGTTCCCCTGCTTATGGTAATGTGCCCTGAGACTGCTCTCAATGATGCAGGCAAGTCATCCTTGGCTACCATATAGACTCTTATCTTCATGTAAGACCTCTCTCCCTTCACTGGTTCATGCTTCAATTGCAATACACTTCTCTGTATATATAGACATTGCAAGAATAAGGAACTTAGCCCATATTGCCTCAATTTGGTTTTGATTCCCTTCCATTTTCTGTTTGCATCTTATTTCTCCTCTTTTCTTTTTATCTCCTTTTCTTCCACCTTTAATCTGGCATTGTAATGGAACATATTCTTTTCCTCTTCAATCTTTCATTTTCCCCTCTTTTGGACAGTGAATTAGAAAGGCATACTTCAACCAAGTTGCATGAATTCATTAATGGTCTAGATTTGAAAGACTATTGACACGAAGACATATAAAGTCAAATGGAACAGAATCTTCATATAAGGAAAATCTCAATGAGAAAATTATGTGCCATAAAATACACAACTTTTACACAGCATATTTTGCTGACTTTGCAAATTACAACGAACCTCAAAAATGGGTTTCTTAACTAGAATTTGTTCTTCCATTCTAATTTACAGTCAAACCTTTGGGGACAAGAATACAAAGTCAAATAGCAATGAATAGATTGAAAGAAAAGGGTTCATTTCTGGGCCAGAGCACTTCCTTCACCATGGTTCAGTTGACTTTTCTCTCTGTATAAGGTTTCTGCTCCACCTTCTGAGGCCAGGAGCATGAAGGATATGAAGTTATGAACATATGAGCTTGTGATGAGCAAGAATATATTCCATTGATTGTGCGCATCCTACATATGATCATTTTAAGTGGAGCAAGAGAAATTATAGCAAAGAAGAAAGAAAAGTTTTGGATTCAAGTATGATTGTTCTTTGATATGCTGGGTATAAGTAGAAGATCAATACGTTGAATTGACATCCGGAAAACAAACAAAGTACTAGAGGAATGGAGGCCAAACATGAAAGGTTGAGAGAAATGCCATGATTAAAGAAGAGAAGTCTTACATGAGGACAAGAGTCTATCGGGAAGCCAAGGATGACTTGCCTGATTCTAACAAGATGTTTTAGTTTTAGAACCGTTTCTTAGTAGTTAGGCAGTCACCTTGACTTGATTGGTTGGCTCTTATTGCTTGTGCTAGGCCACCTTTTCTTTCTTGAAAGCACCTTACAATTTGCTTGACATTCACCCACGTATGCTCACACTTAGCTTGCCTCTTGAGTTTTATTCATAAACTCTCAGGTAATTAGTGCAACAAATCTTAATAGTCCAAACACCAAATTTTTATTTAAATTAAAAAAATTTCCTTTTTCATGAATCAAAAGCTCGTTTTCTTTGTTTCTTAAAATACAACAATTCTTTATAAGGAAATTTTAATCGCCTTGGCTAAAAGAAATCCAGCCTCTTGAGTCCATTGCCATCTCCATTCAAACCATAGCATGTTCAGGACTTTGAGGGCTCAATTGAATGAAACGAATGTTTTTGGGGGTTATTGTCTCATCTATTATAAGTATAACATTTCCAAAAAAAAAAAAGAAAAGAAAAGAAAAGAAAAGAAGAAGTTGAATTAATAGTTAGAAAAATCCTATCAAATAAATATAATAATAGTTAAATTTTTTTAATGAAATAAATAGTTGGATTTTTTTACTTTTCATATTCATAAAACTGTAATATTAAATTTATAAATTATAACTGACAAAATCATTTTACCATTTAACACGTGACATGAAATTGTAGTGATTGGTTCCATGCTCATGGTAATAATTCATGAACTAACGTGTTGTGGAACATTTTTCAAAGGTGCTGGCAAGTCATCCTTGGCTATCATACAGACTCTTTCCTTCACGTAAGGCATCTCTTCTTCCATGTTTTGCCACTTTGGTTTAGGAGACGAAGTCTAACATGAGAGAAAAGATGCTATTAGGTTAGCAAGGTGACTGTTTGGCATTGTAATGGAACATATTCTTTATTAACAAGATGTTCCAGTTTTAGAACCATTTCTCAGTAGTCAAGCAATCTCCTTAGCTTGATTGACGGGCTCTTCTTGCTTGTACATGCCAAGCCACCATTTCTTTCCTAAAAGCACCTTACAGGTTGCTTGGCATTCACTCAACTATACTCACACTTAGCTTGCCTCTTGACTTTGATTTATACATTTTCAAGTAATTAATGCAATAAAGATTAGTAGTTTAAATATGAGAATTCTATTTCAATTAATAAACTTTCATTTTTCATTATATTTTTTGAATGCTGCTTTTCTTTTTTTCTCAAAATACAACATTTCTTTGAAATTTTTAATCTCCTTGGCTAGAAGAAATCCAGCCCCATGAGTCCATTGCCATCTCCAACCCAATCCATAGCATGTTTGGGACTTTGAGGGCTCAATTGAATGACACGAAAGCTTTTGGGGGTCATTGTCATTTATTATAACATTCTCACCCCCCACCCAAAAAAGGGGGAAAATTCACATAGTAATTGTCGCAATCAGAAGGGGCTTTTAAGTAATTACGATAACAATTAGAAGACTACTTACAGCTCGACACGTTAGAACACAGTCGTCCTACGTGGCAACATGACATCTCACACCGTTCGATCATAATCTCGGAGATCCAACAGCGCAAACAAAAACCCTAAACGGCTAAAACGCAAGGTCTGTCTTCCTTCCTCGTTTCCTCATCCTAACCTCGGCTTTGCTTCTTTTGCTCGCCACTTCGATACTTCTCTCCTTCTAAAGGTTCAGATCCTTCTTCCTCTACCTGTTCTTACTTTTTGACATTTATTATCACTGTAGCGTATTCCTTTATATTTCTTTTAATTTTGTTGTCTTGTTTACCTGAACAAATTGATTCTTTTTCGGATAATCTTTCTTTGGGTTTTTGTTTTTCTTCGTTCCCTTTCATGGGTTCGAGTAAAGTTGGAGTTTTGACTCCTAGATTCTTTACTCTGTGCTTAGGGTTTTCTAGTAATGGTAGTTCGCTACTTTGGTGGTTGAATGATGTTTGGGGATATCGTTTTGTGCCGAGTACGTTCATCTTTAGATCTGGAGTCTTGTATAGTTTTGAGTTTGGATGAATTGATTTCTTCTGTTTTTCGGTTGGTTTCTATTAGGAGATATATTATGAGATAATTTTCTAAGTGACATGTTTGCTGTCTATATTTCTGGGACAGTTTTATTTTTTTTTTTCCCTCTGAATTCTATTTAGCTCTTTTCCGGGGTAAGAATATGTGATTGCAGGGCAGACTTTTTTTTTTTTTTTAAGGTTCTTGTGTAAAAGAGATAACTTTGCTCTATTCCTGTCTGTTCCTGGTTGTGGGATAAGGGGCTGCCTTGTGTTAGCAATTTGTACCAATCATTGCTCATGAATTATACGTTCAAGTATATTAGGCATTAGGCTTGCCATGTGCTACATTTTGTTATCATGTAATCCCTTTTCTGACTGTTTGCTGTTGCCTGTAGATGAATGTTGAGAGGCTACAAAAGATGGCTGGTGCTGTCCGCACTGGCGGTAAGGGAAGCATGAGAAGGTGTGCTATGGCCAGAAAATTTAATTTGGTCTCAGGAATTGTCCCCTTTTTTTTTCTTTTTTTCTTTTTTGATCTAGTATGATGCATTAACACTTTAATAAAGTACTATATTAATGACATATTTTGTTCAGCTTGTTTGTATGGAAACTACATTCTTCTTGATTTTTTTTGGTCTATGAAATAATAATGTTCAGCTTGGATTATAAACGTTTTTAATGTGTTGAAAAGTGTTATCTACTTTTTACTATATTCTTGTCAAGTGGCTTTATCGTCTTGGATCAAATGACCTGATATTTGCTTCTTTGAAGTGTATCAATTCATTGATAATAAATTCTCTGCATCTTATTATACTTCCGTTACAGGCCTGATTCTTGTAACTTAATGGTTTCTTATTCTTTTGATTTGCATTTACAGAAAGAAGAAGGCTGTCCATAAGACAACGACAACCGATGACAAAAGGTTACAAAGTACCCTCAAAAGAATAGGAGTAAATGCTATACCTGCTATTGAGGAAGTTAACATCTTCAAGGATGATGTTGTAATTCAGTTTGTTAACCCCAAAGGTAGATGGAGCAGCTTTTTTGCATATATATCCTCTTAATTCGTTTAAATGTTCTGTATAGTAAGCTAATATTTTATGGTTTATGTTTCAGTTCAGGCGGCACTTGGTGCCAACACATGGGTTGTTAGTGGTTCACCCCAGACAAAGAGTATGGCTCTCTTTCTTAACCCTGATGTCTGCAAATGTTGATAAAATCTGATCACTGTTAACCATATGAGACAGTGTGGTTAATATGTTTTGTCAAGAGTCATTGTTTTGCAAAATTTTATGTTCTGGTTAATACGTTTGTGTCCCATAATCTAGACTTGATATTTCTTGTCTTGCTCCCTGCCTGAGGTTTTGACATCATGTTTTTTGCTGTTCCAGAATTGCAAGATATTCTTCCGGGAATTATCAACCAATTGGGTATGAATTTATCTCTGTTTGGTGTCTTGGTCATGTTGTATGCAGATGATAACTAAGAAAATGAACTCTCTAACCTATTATTTATGAATTTTTCAGGCCCAGATAACTTGGACAACTTGAGGAAATTGGCAGAGCAGTTCCAAAAGCAGGCTCCTGCTGATGGTGCAGGTGCAACCAGCACCCAAGAGGATGATGATGATGTGGTCCCAGAGCTTGTGCCTGGGGAGACCTTTGAAGCTGCTGCGGAGGAGGGGGAAGCTGCTAAATAGAGTTTTTGAAGAGTTTTGTGTTATTTTATATATCTTCCATATTTTGGATGATTATCTGTTATGCAACTATTTTGTGTTTTTAGTTAATGCTCACCCTGTGACACACACCAAGTAGTGTTTCTCTGGATGCTTTTGCTATGAGCAAAGCCTTTCCCACATTTTCTGGATATTGCTGCATTTTGGATCAGATAAGCTTAAAAACAATACCATTGTGCGGTAAATTGTATGACGGATGACGGTAGCAATTTTCATCTTTTTTTGTTTGGAAGAATTGCATAATTATAGCAAGGCCATCCTTTGGGTTTCAGACTTGTACTGCATCCTTCCCCTTGAAACATGACAAGCTCCTATGGTGTCTTCTTACAAATAAATTGAACAGAAGTAATGTCATGTAGACCACAAGGAATTTGGGAGAAATGAAAAATGGAGCAAAACTGCCCATCTGCTAGAGATTTCTTCGCTGCACATATGAAACACGTAGGTTCAGGATTCAAGAATCCGGTAGAAGTGATGCCTCTGTACTCTTGTGATTGCTGTTGAATCCCTTTACACGGGACTGTTTTCACGGCTGTGTGGATGAAGAAGAGAAAGCCTAACATGAAAGAAAAGAGCCTTTTACCTAGCCAAGGTGCTTGCCTGCATGCTGAACAATGAATTGCTGCCTAGCTGGCTTTCTCCTTTGAGTCAAAACCTCCTGCAAAATGTAGGCAAGTCATCCTTGGCTATCAAACAAGACTCTATTGTCCATGCAAGGCCCATCTCCCTCTTAAATCTCAACTGCATGCTGGTTTCTGACAATGAAGACCGGCTTTATAGCCCTAAAGAGAATAAAAATCATATCCTCATCAAACACTGAACAATTCACTATATTCTTCATTATTGAGAGATTAAATTCACTCAATTCTAAAGTCAAAGGGCTCTTGAGAAACTTCTTTTTCTGCTTCCTGGAAGAGCCCATAATATGTAGGACATATTCTCTTAGTGAATGTCTACCCAACTTGCATCAATTCCTCTAGAGCTGACTTTCTATGTATGCAATTTTTCCATCCCTGTTCTAGCAGCCAAATTCTCCCCATCCCCATAAAAGGATCTAGATCAAAAGAGGATAAGATAATCAAGGTTCCAAATGGCTAGCGATCCCAAGATCAAGAAAATATATTCTCTAGATGCAAGGAGGCTCTACCCTTATCTAGATAATTCATCAGAAAATGGAATTTATTCTTTGATTTTGGGTTAGTTAAAATCAAACTGACTTTGAGCCTTGAATTTCTCAAGACTTTAAGAAGTATGAGGATTACCTTAGCCTTTGCTAGAGGGCTATAAATACAAAGCTCATGGCACTGAAGTGACTTCAACATGCAATCAAGGATTTGAGAGGAAAATTAGGTCTAACATGAAGATGTGGTCTTTCTTGATAGCCAGGGATGAATTGCCTGCACTGCCTATGGATTTTAGAGTTTGCAGGCATTTCATCCTGGCTTTCTTGGCAGACTCTTCTCTTCCATGCCAGGTCTTCTTCTACAGTAATATTTTGATTTTCTTCCTACCATTTTAATTAATTTCTTTATATCTTTCCAGGCTTTGCTCTCTCTCTCTCTCTCTTTTTAAAAAAGAAAATATTAATTATGGACAAAAAGATTTATGGTTCCACTCTGGACAAAAAACAAATGACTTCCAAGATTTTGTTATCCACATCCCTATCAGAACATTAAATTGATACCACAAAATTGTGTCATGTTTGCCCAAAAAAGACTTTTGATCATCTGTCTATCCACACAAAACCCATAAACAAAACAACCATCTGATCACACCTAATCAGCAAGGTCTTGATTCTCATGAAAAAATGGAATTAACTGCTCAATCTGCATCCCATCCAAAGCTCCCAAGCTGCTCAACTCCTCTTTCACCTTCCTTCTTATGTTCAAAAGCTTCCTCTTTTTCTTCCAAACCTGTAATCCCTTTTCATTCCTCCAAGAACCATAACACTCAGCTGAAATTTGTAAGAATCAAAGAAAGGAAGCAAAGAAATGCTGGGGCTGTGTTTGCTTCTGAGGGTGAAAGCACTTCTACTGATGTTGTTGAAAGATGGCTTCTTGAACCTGTTGGTGAGTAGTTAACTTATTTTTATTTCAATTTTTGTTTTTATATTAGGGTTTTGGATTGAATCTTTCACATTTATGCATTTCTTTGGAATAGAAACCCATTAGACTTATTAGTCTCTTTATATTTCTTTGATATCAGTTCCTCCAGAGGAAAAATCAAACTTCTTTTCTCAGGACTGTAATATTGATGTTGATTTTTCATCATATGTAACCTTTCCATTAGGTGATGGAGATTCAAGACACTTAGGTTATAAAGTTGATATGCCAGGCGCAATTGAAATTGTTTCAGTAAGTAATTATGTTGAGATATGTCTTTTTCAGTTCGAACTGTCCAAAAAAATAATAAAAATGTCAGTCTAGGCTGAAAAAGACATTTCTGAATTTTTGTTAGCTAACATATAAGTTTGCGCTCAATGTTCTTGCTTCAAGAATGCAATATAATCCCAAATTTACCTTTAACATTATGAAGAGTGAGGTGACTGTTGGCCGTCTTCCTGACAAGGCAGATGTGGTGATTCCAGTTGCAACAGGTAGATTATATGTATATATGGACATTAGTCCATTAAAATTCAAGTTATGACATCAAAATCAAACATGCATCAATCTCGCGCACTGTTTTCTTGCAGTATCCGGTGTTCATGCCCGCATTCAGAATAAAGGAGGCAGTCTTTTGGTCACGGATTTGGACAGTACTAATGGGACATTCATTGATGACCGGAAACTGAAACCTGGAGATGTTTCTACTGTGCCATCTGGAAGCCTCCTTACATTTGGTATGAATCCCCTTAACACAATTTTTTTGCTGCAGTTTTGTTGAGCAGCCTTTGAGTGTTGTATTTGGATTCTAAAAGTATATGAAGTTGAAGTTTGTTTTGGGTTAATTAACGGTAGCTTTCTGGCCTCAGGTGATATTCATCTGGCAAAGTTCCGAGTCTCTAAGCTTGAGAATGAGGGAGCTGCAAGCAAACAGGAAGAATCTGCTGAAAAATCAGACTGATACTACTGCTGGTGAGAGTACTGAAACAACATAAATAAAATTGAAGGATCATGTTGTTGCGGTACATTTGAATAAATTCAATTTCCATTAGAATTTCATCTTTTTAAAGTTCTTTTCA